TCTGCTGGCGCCCACGGCCTGTGAGCGAGGCGATGACTGATTGCTGGTGCTTCCGAGAAGCCAGGCTCCAGGGACTCAGGTCCCAGCCAACACCGAGGTTATAGAATCCTTGCTTCCTAAATGCAGTCCACCTGCTTCCTTCAGGAAGCACTCCTAAAGCCAGCGCCAGCCCCCGGAGTGGCGGACTGCAGTGCCTTCTTCCATAGTGTCTCTTCCTCATCAAAACAATGGCTTAACTTCCTCTTTTCAGTTACAACTGGCATTCAATGTTTCAGGAGTGCAGCATAGTAGTTAGACGTTTACATAATTTACAAAATGATCCCCCTGGTAATTCAAGTACCCACCTGGCACCTTACGTAGTTATTACAATATTATTGACCTTATTCCGTAGACTATTTGTAACTACCAATTTGTACTTCTAATCCCTTCACCTTTTTCACCCAACCTCTCTTCCATATGGCAACTTCTTACGTGTTCTTCTTAGTGAAGAAAGTACCCCAAAGCTTGGGACACTGTGACACCTCTGGGGCTTATCAAATGACACACTGACAGGGTATCAGGTGATGAATTCATTTGGTGTGCAGTTGCCTATTTGTCTGATCTGGATTTCAACTTCCCTGAGAAAATTACTCAGATTTCTGCTGTGCCAAGGAACCTGTTTGTTCAAACACGTTGCGCTCTCGTCCCTGCCAGGTTTCCCAGAACAGGCTGGTTCTGCCGGGCGGCTGTTTCACAGAGGTAGGAATTACAGAACGAAGTCTGCCAGCCTCTCCATGGGAGCCCATTCAGCTCCATCTCAGCCACAAAGGGAGAACAAAGAGCAAGGCTGCTTTCATCCTCCTCCGGTGCCAGGAGAAATGTTGGGGTAGCTCCGACCCAGCGGCTGCTCAGAACTAAGGTCCCGTGCTTGTAGGTCGGTGGGTGAGGAGAAGAAAAGAAAAAGAAAACAATCTCTTTGGATCAAGTGCTCAGATTGTTTTTGCTGCTGAGAGCTCTTATAACAAAGATGTATGCAGCTCAGCTTTGCCTTTTTAGATCATTCATTTTTGAAGAGGCCAAGATACACAATTACATGAATGATGTTTAATTGAACTTTTATTAGGTTTGCTCACGTATCCTCATAAAATACCATCACTGAGAAACAACACAAAGAATGTTATTATCTAAACGAAAAACAAAAACTCTAGGTGTTCCGTGTAAAAGGGGAAAAAAATAGATTAGATGACAAACCTATTGGAACACTGAGATAATTAGATTTTGTTTTAGTACCTTTGCCGTGTTCTGTTCTGTAACTGGCATGATGGTGACAAGTTTCATTTTCCTACTGACTTGAACATTGCTGTTGCAATGATGCCCTCGTGACAGTGTGACCCACTGCACCACTGGACACTTGGGGTGACAGCCCATTGGTCCCCTGGCCCAGGAGAAAATGGGCCGTCATCAGGCAGTCTTCAGTGAATTGGTGTAATGAGCCCTGCAGTATATGCAAAGACGAGAATTCTAACCAATGTGTTCAGAAATGGCCTCTGGATGGTGCATTTTCAGCATCTCGAGTTACGGTTGTAACTGCTGTGATATAGTCAGAAAATCAGATGTGTTACTTATACACATACACTATTATGAGTTTGTGACTAAGACTCCACATCAGGTTTAAAAATACATTCGTATGCTGCAGATAAAAGCAGCATTGATTGAGGACCCCATATTAGGAATTAGGAGCCACTGCCATCCATAAGGGTAGCTTAGAAGGCTCGTAAAAACTGAGATGTCATAGCTTATTATCAAGAGAATCCTTTCATGAAAACGAAATGCAGTTGAAATGATGATCTGTTAGCGACAAGACCTACCAAACAGGGCAAGAAAAAAATGACCAAACTCATATACTACAGTGTAGAGCAGATAATGATGTAGAGAATTTCAGGTTGCCATGGAGACCGTTCTCTGGCTCATTGGCTATGTTGCTGCCATCAGAAGCCACCACTCTCTTCTAAGCTCAAAATGAATTCAGTGCTATTCAAGGGGGATTCGTTTACCTTCTCCCGTGTTCCTAAAACTACAGGGTGGGAAAGATCAAAGAGGCCTACAGCACAGTCCCTGCTGAAAACATACCAGCTGCAGAGTTGTGTGAATGCAATGGCTGCCGCCCAGTACAGCTCAGAAGATAAGTAAATGCCCAGAAGTGTAGTGCAAACAAGAGGAGGTGACTCAGATTAGGAAAGAAAGACGAGTATGGACCAAAGTTACCCAAAAAACCTAATGGCGGTGAACTTTTTTAAAAAATTTTTTATTGATTTTTTTTTAGAGAGAGAGGAAGGGAGAGAGAGAGAAAAACATCGATTGGCCATCTTCTGCATGCCCCACACTGGGGATTTGGCCCACAACCTGGGCGTGTGCCCTGACTGGGAATCAAACTGGTGACCTCTTGGTGCATGGGTCAACACCCAACCACTGAGCCACACCGGCTGGGCCTAATGGTGGTAAAATTGGGGGGATAGGTGCCATTTGGCTCATAGTAAATACTCTGTGAATGAGCAGAGAGGAGGGTAGTCCGTGCAGGATAAAGCGAGTGAGCAGAGCTTCTGAGACAGGAACAACATGTTAACAAGACAGTGAGGAGACATGCCCTGTGGTTGAGGGCCTTGGTGAGTAAGTGACCATTGGGTGAGATTACTAGAGGGCTGAACTGAGAGGTCATGGGCCCTGGAGATTGATTTTAGGTCTATGAGTGGGGTGGTGAAATAATGAAAGCCGTATTTTACAAACGTTGGTCCAAGGGTTAGGGTCCGGGATAGATTGACGGGGAGTGAAACTGTCATGCGGGAGAGGTGATGGAAGCCTAGACCTCTGTGGTGGATGTTTCGTTGAGAGAAGAAAGGAATGTTCACAAGGCAGCATCCATAGCGTTTGATAACGGAGAAATGGATGGAAATTCCTGGACTCTTCTTCTGAACAAATTGGCCTTGGACCACCTCTGAAGCTCAGGGGTCTGATCTGGGTTTGGGTGAGAGGCGGGGTCTGATTCTTGGGAGCGTGAAGCAAAAGGAAAACCAAACAATAATGCAGAGGATTTTTCGGGCTGTGAAACTACTCTGTAGGATACTATGATGGTGGGTAAATATTATACATTTGTCAAAACCATAGAATGTTCCACACCATGAGTGAACCCTAATGTGAACTATGGGCTTTGGGTGATGATGATACAGGTTCATTGACTGTAACAAACATATTACTGATGTTGACAGTGAAGGGAGGCTGTGGGTGTGTGAGGCAGGAGATGTATTGGGCGCCCTCTGTGCTGTCTGCTTCCTATCAACTTAAAATAGCTAAAAAAAAATAAGTCTGTTGAAAACCACCACTAACAAAAATAATGTAAATTGACAGAATTGGAATAAAAAACCAAATAAACAGTCAATACGTGTTCAGAGGTCAATATGGGGACAAAGACTTTTTGAAAACCATGTGAAGGCCACTAAAGCCATTCCAATGGAAGAAGTATGGACATCTAGGAATGGACCAGAGAAACCAGAGCCGGTAGGAGCAGGGCCTTCAGTGGAGGAAACCACAGGCCTCACCCTCCAGTGCAGACCCACCAAGATGGCTGGAGGTTTGCAGCGTGAGTGGCAGCAGGAATGGTGAAGGGAGATGAGCCCAAAACAAGTTTCATTACGCATTAAGGAAACCCCTGCAACTGTGTTCCTCATTTCTTGTTGAAGTCGAGTATTTCCAGCATAGTGCCACAGTCATGACAATAATTTATGCCTCAGTGGTTTGTGACCTGTGACTTGAAACTATCTGCCGTGATCCCAGTTTGTGATTGACTGATTGATTGATTGATTGATTGATTGATTGATTAAAACTAGTAAAATGAGGATAATCGTTTTGGATTGCAGTGGAATTGGGAACACGATATTTGTGGTTTTCCTAAGCATTTTGACCTTTTGGGATAAAAGGATGTAAGGATGTTCTGACGACCTAATATTGCAGTAAGGAAGAAGACCCATTAGAATCTGGAAAAGGCAGCTCACAATAAGCATAGAACAATAGGTTAAACAAGCTGTAGTGAATATCAGTACTTACATCTTATCTCCATTTCAGGGAGTACTGGCTCATATTAGATATCCATGAATAGGTCAAGTTTATTGATTAAATAAAGATCCATAATACAAAACAGTTTAGGCTGATGTCACCTAAAGTAGGCAGATTTTTTAAAACGATCAGACTAAGCATTTAAAGATACTGTCTGAAGAGTACCTTAGTGTAACTTGAAGTTATTACACACATTCAGATCAGCCTCTGGATGATTTACCTTCATCTCCCAGCAGAATCAGTGCTGGCCAGGGTATTGCTTTAATAATGCACGTCTGCTGTTAATATTTACCAACCAGCTAATCAGAGCTCTAGAGAATACTTGCCACATTTACCCTGTTACAAGGTGGACATCATTTTACAATTAACATCATTATAAATGGAATGTAATCATACAGCAATACCTCTTTTTGTTTCTCACTGTGAAACTTTAAAATAATGATATATAGATACATATAACTTTACCATTTATGCATGTAAATGCACTGATTTTCATAAGAATACATAAATATATTCAACCATGCATCTCTATACAATTAGTATGAGGTATATTTTCATTCTTTACATTAAAAAGCAATTGTTTTGTGTAAATATCATGTGAAATAAGATTTTTTTATTTGTTTTCTTAACCATGCAATAAAAAATCTGATTCAAATTAGGCACAGAGGAACTGTATTACAATCACTGTAAAGGTAGATGATCAGCATATACTGTGTTTTGAATTGCTGCCTTAAGTGAAATATAATGGTGATATTTTGCATATGGGCTATAATTTGGAAATGTAAAAACTACCTGATTCTTTATTAAGCAGAGTTTTTAAAATTGTGATTTAAGTTTGAACAAAAGGATGGAATATTTTCACAAGCTCTTCCACTTGCACAGTAGTGACATTTGGCACCGCCCTCTCCCTGCAGGCCTCGCAGTGCAGATTATTTTATGCAAGAAGCTAAGCGGATGAAGCATAAAGCAGACGCGATGGTAAGTTCCTTTTCTTTCTAGATACATTTTTCCGAATTACGTTTGTACTGCACCTTTATCACTGGGGTAATTATAAAATCTATTACAAGGATGGCTGGGTCCGTTAAATGGAGAAATGTTTATATAATCAAATGCTCATGGCCCAATAAATTATGACTTCAACCAATAATGTCTGACTGGGAGAAAGCCCTGGATAAACAAATTTTAATTTCATTCTAAGGTTTGAATAGTAACTAGAAGCAGTGGAGTCAGTGGGTGGCTTTTTTTTTTCTTTAAAAATAAAATCTAAGTTTGCATTTTTCTGTCTTGTTAGCCTGACTAACCCTTGGCTTGGTCCCAGGATCTAATCTCTTTTCAAAAAGACTCATGTTCTTCATGTGTATCTGCCAAAATGAATACTTCTCTGAAAGTGTACAACACAGAAACTATTATAATGCACATAAGATTCTAGAGTCATCATGATTTCATGTTTACAAAAAATAATTTGTCTTGCTTGGATAATCTCCTATTTTGGAAAGCTTGAAGCTTTTCAGGCATTAGACTGTTTTTGAACCTCTTTTTTGTTTTTTTCTAAAAGAGATCAATTACATAGTTATTGTATCTTGAGGTCTTATCCAAGAAGACTCTTTCCTGCCCGGAAATGCTGGTTCGGTTCCCCTCCATCATTTATCACTGAGGTTGGGGAGCTGGAGATGCAAAAGGCATTTCAAATGACCTTTATCATATTATTCTAATGCTACTGATGTTGCCCATCAAATATTTATTTGTATGAAGATCACTGCCCAGGTGCACCAGGGTACAAGGGAAACAACCAGAGTATCGGACAATAGAGAAGGTACAGTTCTCTCCCTCTCAAACCCACAGTCTGATGAAGGGTTCTGGTCACTGTCGAATGAAGGGCATCAAATGTTAAAGCAGAATGAAAATTTCTGCCTGAATCACGTAGGGTTATCAGGATTATTCATTCAGAGTCACCTTGTCCAACCCCAAAATGCTTCAGCCAGGAGGGCCCCTACTGGACTCTAAGTACACTGTGCTCACGCCAGCCAGCAGGCCTTTGCACGTGTAGAGCCTCACACTTGCAGCTCACACATACTTACACACACACTCGTGTACTCACACCTTCAGCATGCTCCCCAATCCTTTCCTTCCTGGTGTCATTTCCGGGTCTCCTCCAGAGGCCTCGCAGACTCTGCAATCCCATCACTTGCCCCCCTTCCTACCATTTCATGTTCACTGGACTCCTGGCTTTGCATCTCCAGTTCATCACAGACCGCCTAGTACTGGGAACTGTCTTGTGGGTGCACATTGTTTCTCTCTAAATGTGTTGTATATACTTCGAAGGAACTTGTGTGCATCGAGTGCACATAGTACAAAATTGAGTGCTTCAGAAAATACTTATTGAATGAAATGGCTTCCTTAACCTGAAAGTGTAGCCAAGTAATATTTGATAGCCTATTAGGGCTATAAACTGTTTAAAAATTTGATTTGCTAATGAGGGAGCATTTTGCTCCACATTTTTGTTTTCTAAGGCATCGTTATCAATGGGAACTTTTTAGAGTCAAGACTTATATTAGTAATTAAAGTATTTGTGTAATTCTGTTTTGATTGATGAATGAATATTTGAAAACTGGAGAGATTACGCGATTCAAACTTAAAATATGTAATTATCTACAGAGAGTAACAATGTATGGAAACAGGACCTTGATGTGTAAATTTGGTTTTATGAGAACCTAACAATATAGAGCTGATTCTTGCTGTTGTGGGGAAAAAAATTAACATCAATTTAAACAACCTCATATAATCCACACCAAAAAATATGGTTTTTATTAAATATCACCTCTGTGTTCCATTTTAGCTAAGCTGAAATGTTGCCTTGAGTTGTATCTCCTCTTTCTTCTCCTCACTCTCATCCTTACGTGAGGTCCTAACTGTTAAAGAAATAAGTAAACACACACATCCTAGGAGGAAAGCATGGACATGGAAATGTCACCAATAATGTAAAAGACGTAAATCGTCAAAGTTGGAATACAGAAAAAAGTACGAAAACTCTCATATGGAATCAGACCTACCAACTTCGCTCTATAGTTAGTAGAGCATGGGAGAACAAGGAATGAAGTTTCCATGCAGTAGGGGTCAAAAAGAGGGAACCAGAAATTAGAGCAGCCTGAAATTCTGAGCAATTCTGATTGGCAGTTGTTCTGTGATTTGGTACAGTTCTGTCTGTAACCATCCACTCACTCACCCTACACCACGGGTAATTTATGAAGATAACTAGGAAGGGAGTGTCCCATTTCTTTTTTTCTCTCAGCCCCATTCACAGGATTTTGGAACTCAAAAGGTGAGTTTCTCAAATAAAGTGTATAGACAATGGGACAATGATGTTTAAAATCTGTACTTAGGGAAGACACTGTGTTAACTCTGTTCATCAGGTGGAAAAGTTTGGAAAGGCTTTGAACTACGCAGAAGCAGCCTTGTCATTCATTGAGTGTGGAAATGCAATGGAACAGGGCCCAATGGAATCCAAATCTCCTTACACAATGTATTCAGAAACAGTGGAGCTCATCAGGTAAGTGCTGTGTTCTTTTACTGGCTGGGTGGGGGCAGGGGAGTGAGGAATGTGGGTAAGTACCCTGAATACAGAGAAAAGAATGTCAACCTGTACTATCAGCTATCAAGCACCTTTGTTCATCTCCAAAAGTAACAATGTAAGATTTTGCATGACCCTCTCGCACCCCTGCCTCCTTGGTTCTTGTTGTGAGTGAGACAAGGCAGCTCCTGTAACTGCTTATTGCTGTGTGAGGGAAGCTGAGTCTGGGTGAACCGTGAATGCCTACTTCATCCAGCTAGGGAGTGGCAGGTTTTTAACTCATCTCACCTCTATGCTGCCTTTTAAAAATCTGATTCATGTTAGTATAATCTCAACACTAACTCCACCAATAAAAATTCAGGAGTATTTAATGAAAGGAAAGAAGATTTGGGGGGATTTTAGGAAGTGAAATTTACCCTATGACATACTATCTCAGAAGGTCTTGGCATAGTGTAAGACTCAAATATGAGCATCATTCCCCAACCTGGGTTAAGAGGTGTAATGTGAGCAGAAGCAGGGTTTCTGCTGGGGGCACATCAAGGAGTTTGTGGGAGATGTTGATTTTTCGTGATGGATCCCTGAAAGGCACATCCTTATCATCTCAATGAACCATTAAGGGAAGTTCATCCATTAACCCTACTGAAAACCTTTGTCATATGAGTTATGTTTTTAGCCAGTTTAGCCTCTTTGAATGCTGTCTAATACCCATAATATAAAAGAATTCTTTCAAAAACTAACAGAAATAAAAATCTCACTGGATGGGCTCAGTAGTACAGTGAAAATGACAGAGGATAGAATCAATGAACAGGAAATAGAATTTACGCAATCTAAGTAACAGAGAAAATAGACTGGAAAAAAAAGGGGTAGAGCTTCAAACACAAAGACAAAAGATTCAACATATGTATCATTGGAGTCCCAGGAGGAGAGGAAGACAGTAGGACTGAAGAATATCTGAAGAAATAATGGCTGAAATTTGCCAAATTTGAAAAAAGACATAAACCTATAGGCTCAAGAAGCTGAGAAAAATCCAAATAGGATAAATTCTAAGAAATGCACTTGAAAACACGTCATAACTACATTTCTAAAAACTAAAAACAAATAATTCTGAAAGCAACCAGAAAGAAACTACATGTTACCTGTAGGGGAACACCAATTCAAATGACAGCCGACTTCACATCTGAAACCATGAAAGCTAGAAGACAGTGGCACAGTTTACAAGTGCTGAAAGAAAAAGAAAAAACTATCAGTGAATTCTAGATTCATTGAAACTTCATTTTTTCAGGAATGAAGAAGAAATAAATATATTCTTAGACTAAGGACAACCCATCCTTGCAGATTAGCCAGAGGAAGTACCTCAAATAGAAATGAAATGACCAAAAAAAAAGGGGGGGGTGGGAATCTTAGAGCATCAGGAAAAAAGAACAACAGAAGAGCAATTTGGATATGTGCCATAAACTGTCCTCATGAGTTTCGTAAATCATATATGATGATCAAAACAAAAATTATACCACCATCTGATACTCAAGACAATGTTATTTAAAAGTGGAGAAAGTAAAGGGACTGAAGCAGAAGTAAGGTTTCCACACTTCACCGAAAGTGGAGAGTGTTGATACCAGTAAATTGTGATGTCGCATGTGTGTATTGTAAAACCCAGAACAACCACTATGAAAACTATGCAGGAGATACACCTGACAATGCTACAAATCTGCATATTTTGGAGATGGTATAATAATAGTATCATTTCTTGAGCAATTTGCAACAAGCCAGCCCATTATGCCAAAAGCTTTCCAAATACTATCTCAGTTCATTCTTACAACAACCCTATGTAATTAGCAGTATTAATATTACTTGATAAATAAGGACATGGAAGTTTAAAGATACTAGTTTGTCTAAGCTCTCACAACTAATAATTGTCTGCTGGGATTTGAACCCAGGAATCCCTGACCATTCCACATATACCTCAGCTCTCGCAAAGAGTCTGTAAATAACTTAGTATGTTATTGAGAAGAAAATGGCCACGGTCCTGAGAGTGTGATTAAGTAAAGTTCATAAAAGCCACTAGTTATGCGCCCAGGATACTTACCCTACTGTCAGAATAAACGCTATGTCACAATGAAAAAGGGGTAAAACCAGGCATTTATCTGAGTACAGGAGCGAACATTTTTTCTGGAGATTGGCCTGGAAGGATTAAACTTTGCCTCCTTCTCGTCAGCCACTCGGCCATAATTTAAAATGTGTAAAAATGGATGTGTCACCATATACGTGGAATACTTGAACTGGTGTCATCCGGAACCATCTTCAGCATTTGAACCTGTATTGTTAAAGGACAGAAAGCAGCTAGATGGTCATAAGAACTATTTTCTTCTAGTCATCACAATAATATAATGCTATAGGAAAATGAGGCAGCATCCGCTAGCATTTAAGAAAGAGTTATCTGCAAACACTATGAAAAACTAAATATTGGGCAGAGAGAACGTCCATCATAGCAGATGTTCTATTGATAATAAGAAAGGTTTTTAAAAAAATTTTTGAGTGGGATCCAAGACGGTGGTAGAATAGGGGGAAGTTACACTCACTTCCTCCCAGGACCAGACTGAAACTACAACTAAAATGTAGATCAATCAACCTGAATAACCAACCAAAGACTAGCTGAATGGAACTCTTATAACCAAAGATTTACAGAAGAAGCCGCATCAAGACTGGTAGGAAGGACAGAGAAGCGCAAAGGGCTGGCCCCGCACCCACGGGCAGTGACTAAGATCCCTCGAGGATGGTCTCAACCCCACACCGGGCTCCCAGCCCAGCGCACCAGAGCCAGGAACAGGCGCCCACATAACATTCGTTTGTAAAAATCAGTGGAGGTTCTGCCACCAAGAAGAGACAGGAGTCTGCTAGAGACACAGGCTCCCTCGTGAAGGGCCAGCACACAAACTCTCACTCGCAGCCCCTCACCCTGGGATCCAGCAGGGGGGGGCAGAGCAGACTCAGGTTGCATGAGGAGAAACTGGGCTTTGTGGCTCTAGGGAGAGAGCTGAAGGGACAGCTGCCAGGACCCCTGTGCTGAGTCCCCCTCTCGCACTGAAGACACCATCATTCTCGGGTGGAGCACTCCCTCCTTACAGTCTGAGCCTGGCACATGCAATAGCCTCACCCCTGGGACTCCGTCATCCGCCCAGTGGAGCTCACACCCTGCTGAGGAGCCAGCTGCCTGTGCAGGGGTATGGAGATGCAGGCAGACTCAGGGTTCAGTGACTGAGTTGTGTGGCTCTGGGGCAAGGCCACTTCTCCCCTCCCCCACGCCTGACCTGCGCTCCCCTTCATGGGAGCTCCACTAGCCCCACCCGGTCTCCCAGCAGCCCCACCCTGCTGAGCTCCTGGCAGAATCTAGGACACAGTGATTTGAGTGGCTCTAGGACAGGATCTGTTTGGTACTAATAAACCCTCTGGCCTCACCCTGACAATTTTCTGAGGCCCTGCCCCACCACAAAGGTCTGCAGGTACCCGGCAGGTGGCCCTAGACTTGGTATACAAGGGGACTTTTGCTGAGTGGCCTCTGACTGAGCACTGGCACTGAGATTGAACCTGTTATCAGTCTGGTGAACACCACTCACCCCTATCTAGTGACTCTCTGCGAATCTACCTCATGTGACTCAAGGAGCACCAGAGGCTCTTTCAGTGACTGAGCCTAACAGGCAGCCAGCAGGTGGAGGCAGGCAGAGGCAGATCTCAGGGTGCCTTGGGCCTTTTGCTGACCTGTCGCTGGACGTGGTGCTTGTGCAAGCCAGCCTTGGTGCATAGCCTGGTCCTTCCCACACACACCCAGGAAGAGCAGAGGCAGCCACAAACTGGATCATCCTGGAGCTCCAAACAGGTTGCCCAGGGCCAGTCACAGGAAGTGTCAGACATCGCTGACCTGCACCAGAGTCCCTCGCAAGAGACCCCAGATCCAACACACCCGGTGGTCAGCTTCAGACAGCTTTAGAGCAGGATCCAATTAGCTTCACAAGCAGCATAGCCAAAGGGAGATCTTGACAGGCACCAGACTCTGCTGAGGCAAAGTCCACTTACCATGATCAGCCCTGCACAGCAGCTTGTACACTGTGGTTGGGTCAGTACCCACAGTCAGCCAGCCTGAGGGTCAGACCCACACACAGACAGGCCAGTAGTAAACCCATGACTCAGTTACAACAGGAGGACTCACAGAACCCACACAAGGGGTGTTCCTGGAACACACAGTTCAGGTGATTAGGGAGACTGCACCACTGGGTCCCACAGGACACCTACTACGTAAGGCCACCAAACAAGGACTAAGAGACACAGGAGATCTACCTAATACATCGAAACAAACACAAAGAGGCAACCAAAATAGAGAGATCAAAAAAACAAAACAAATCCTAAATGAAAGAACAGGAGAAATTGCCAGGGGAAAAAAAAAAAAGCTAAATGAAATGAAGGCAAGCAATCTACCAGATATAGAGTTCATAGTAGCGTTATTTACAACAGCTAGGATATGGAAGCAGCCAAAGTGTCCATCAGTAGAGGAGTAGATAAAAAAAAAAGCTGTGGTAGCCCTGGCCGGTTTGCTCAGTGGTTAGAGCATCGGCCTGCAGTCCAGAGAGACCCAGGTTCGATTCCCGCTAAAGGCACGTACCTCGGTTGCAGTTTGTCCTCGGCCCTGGTTGTGTCGTGCAGGAGGCAGCCACTCGATGTGTCCCTTTCACGTCAATATTTCTCTCTCCCTTCCTCTCTCTCCCTTCCACTCTATCTGAACAAAAATGTCCTCAGGTGAGGATAAAGAAAAAAAAAAAAAAAAAGGCAATATATTTACATAATGGAATACTACTCGGCTGTTAAAAAAAAAAAAAAAGACAGAAATCTTACATTTTGAGACCTCATGGACGGACCTGGAGAATATTATGCTAAGTGAAATAAGCAAGTCAGAGAAAGACAAATACCATATGATTTCACTTATATGTGGAATCTAATGAACAAAGTAAACACATAAAATAGAAATAGACTCATAGAGAACAGACTGTCAAAGGGGAAGAGGGTTGCAGGGCTGGGTGAAAAAGGTGAAGGGATTAAGCAAAAACACCAAAAACAAAACAAAACAAAAAACAACCTCATAGGCACAAACATCAGTATGGTGATTACCAAAGGGAAAGGAGGCAGAAGAGGATGAATGGTGATGGAAGGAGACTTGGAGTGTTGAGCACAATACAATATACAGCTGATGTATTAGAGAATTGTACACCTGAAACCTATATGATTTTATTAACCAGTGTCACCCTAATAAATTCAATTAAAAGAACTTTTAAAATTGCTTTGGTTTTGCTTTCTTTTCTTTTCTCCCAGGTATGCCATGAGACTAAAAACACACTCAGGCCCCAATGCCACACCAGAGGATAAACAACTGGCTGCATTATGGTGAGTGCATCACATCGGCTTCAGATAGCCTGCCCAGCCTATATATGGTCATTGGCAAACCAGGTGCTGAAATGCGTAGTGTATTTCTAGAGCTGCTGACATGCAAAACCACATGCAAATCTAATGGTGGCCAGGGAGAGCCCACCCATTGCTTGCTTCTGTAGCAGCCATGAGGTGCATGCTTCGTGATTGCAAACGGACAGGTCCATTTTGCATGGATAAGTTTCTGTGTGTGTGTGTGTGTGTTAAAATCAGGTAGGTCTGTGTTTTAATGATTTGAATGTGAATTGTGCCAAATGTTAATATCTCTTGGGTTTAACATTTAGTTGCAATCAAAGCAATTCATCTATCTCTTTACATGTGGGATTAGCATGAGCAAATGAAGATGACGCATTCAAGTCCTCAACACATTAAATTGAGGAGCAGTTCATTACACTTTGATAATGAAAGCTTTCCTTGTAAAATTTTAACCAACATTAATAGATTTTTATATCTGTAACAATTACATGATAATGAATATCTGATTATAGTAGTAATTTCCCTGTACTTCTTCTCAGGATACCTCACTTCACTCCCCTAAATCATAAGATAGCTCTTTATTTATTCCTTTTGTGATAGGGATCCAGATATTTTGCTCTATGAAGGTTTATACTTCCCATGATCTGCAGTGTGAGTACACAATCAAGTCTCAAAACAAAACAATAGCCCTTACTTGTTGGACTCAGCGGTTAGTCAGGGTCTCTTTCAGCTTTGATTCTTGCTCAAGGGCATGTGCCTGGTCCCCCTGGTCAGGGCCCATGTGGGAGGCAACCAATCAATGTCTCTCTCTCTCTCTTTCTCTCCCCACCCTTCCTCCCTCCCTTTCTGCCTCTCTCTCATCCCTCCCCCCTTCCACTCTATCTAAAAATCAATGGAAAAATATCCTCAGGTGAAGATGAACAATAACAATAACAGCAACATACACACAAGAGAGGGCCTTGGGTAGTCTTGCATCATCACATCATCTGGAGTTTGATATGCTAAGAAGAGACCATGAGATTGTGTTTGGTATGTTGGTAATCTAGCATGTCAACACCACACCTGAGTTAGCAAATAATTATAAGTGAAAAGCACCAAGCGAAAGAGGAAACGTCTTGGGAAATGCTTTCTGCGTTCTTTTCAAACTTAAAGTTCCATATTAGGATTAATAAATTAATGATGATTAACATTATATAAGATTAGTAATATGTATATAAGTATATAAAATATTATATAAAACAAAATAATCTCAGCATAGAGTTTTTATTGTTTATAAAATACATATCTATTCCTTTATTTGAACTAATTATATTCAAGTAAAGTAGTTTAAAGGTAAAGGGGTAAAAACAGGTGGAAGGCTTTTCTTCAGCAAAGCCAGTGGTGCCAGAAGTTCAGGGGTCAGAGGGAAATCAAGTCACTCTGCCCTGAAACTCTCCAATTGAGCAGTGAAAGCAATGAGCTAGAGCTTCCTCATTCCTCTCATGGAGAGACACTGCCCTCTAGTGGTGGATGAAGAAAATGGTCAGCCCCACACCCCAATAAAGCAATAGAGTTATTAAATAATCTAATAATGGTAAATATATTTATGGAGTAACTCCTTGAATTTTTGAGGTATATATTCTGAACAAAAGGAAGATCATATACTTACAGACATATATGTATATATTATACATAATCAGGATATAAACAGTGAGTACTTGGAACAACAAGATTTTTGGAAAGCCTTGTTTGCAAAGGACACACTCATGCTTTCGGGGCTCATTTCTCTTCTTCCGCTGCAGTTACCGATGCCTGGCTCTCCTGTACTGGCGGATGTTTCGACTCAAAAGGGATCATGCTGTAAAGTATTCAAAAGCACTTATCGACTATTTCAAGGTACTGTCTGGCTAATGGGTGTCATTGTTCCTCTTATTCAGCTGTCTTCCTATCAAGGACATTTTTGTGGATAGAATCCATTGCTCTTATTCATTTGTCTACTGATGGACATTTGGGCTGTTTCCAGATCTTAGCTATTGTAAATAGTGCTGCTATGTACATGGGGGTACATATATTCTTTCCGATTGGTATTTCAGGTTTCATAGGGTATAGTCCTAGAAGTGGGATCACTAGGTCAAATGGCAATTCAATTTTTAATTTTTAGAGGTAACACCATAGTGTTTTCCATGGGATCTGCACCAGTCTGCATTCCCACCAGCAGTGTACTAGAGTCCCCTTTTCTCCACACCCTCGCCAAGACTTGTTTGATGATTTCTTGATGGCGGCCATTCTGACAGGTGTGAGGAGATACTTCATTGTTATTTTAATTTGCATCTCTCTGATGATTAGTGATGTTGAACATTTCTTCATATGTTTCTTGGCCATTTGTATGTCCTGTTTGGAGAGGTGTCTATTCAGCTCCTCTGCCCTTTTTTTTTTTTTTTATGAATTTTTATTTATTTTTTTGTTACAGATATTTTACCTTTTTACCCCATTGGCACCCCCCCCACCCCACCCCCCCTCCACCCTGTCCCCGGCTTAGTTGTCCATGTCCATTGGTCATGCATACATGCATATAAGTTCTGTGGTTTATCTCTTCCCACCCCCCCACCCCCCATCCCCTCTTCTGAGGGATGTCAGTCTGTGCCCTACTTCCATGTGTCTGGGTCTACTGTATTCCTCAGACTGTTATGTTCATTATATTCCGTATATAAGTGAGATCATGTGGTATTTGTCTTTTTCTGCTTGGCTTCTTTCACTTAGGATAATACTTTCCAGGTCCCTCCATGTCGTCTCAAAGGATAAGAGATCTTTCTTTCTTACCGCTGCATAGTACTCCATTGTGTATATGTACCACAGCTTTTTGATCCATTCGTCTACTGGTGGACACTTGGGCTGTTTCCAGATCTTAGCTATTGTAAATAGTGCTGCTATGAACATGGGGGTACATATATTCTTCCTGATTGGTGTTTCAGGCTTCTTAGGGTATATTCCCAGCAGTGGGATCACTGGGTCAAATGGAAGTTTAATTTTTAATTTTTTGAGGTAGCACCATATTGTTTTCCATAGCGGCTACACGAGTCTGCATTCCCACCAGCAGTGTATTAGAGTCCCCTTTTCTCCACACCCTCGCCAACACTTGTTTGATGATTTGTTGATGGCGGCCATTCTGACAGGTGTGAGGTGATACCTCATTGTTGTTTTAATTTGCATCTCTCTGATGATTAGTGATGTTGAGCATTTCTTCATATGTCTCTTGGCCATTTGTATGTCCTGTTTGGAGAGGTGTCTATTCATCTCCTCTGCCCATTTTTTAATTGGGTTCTTTGTCTTCCTTTTGTGGAGTTGTATGAGCACTCTATATATATTAGAAATTAACCCCTTATCTGATACATCATTGGCAATGATGTTCTCCCATACAGTGGGTTGCCTTTCCATTTTGATGATTGTTTCTTTTGCTGTGCAGAAGCTTTTTAGTTTGATGTAGTCCCATGTGTTCATTTTCTCCTTTATTTCTGTTGCCTTAGGTGATGTATCAGTGAAAATTCTGCTCCGTATGATGTCCAAAATTTTGTTGCCTACATTTTCTTCTAGAATTTTTATGGATTCACGGGTCACATTTAAGTCTTTTATCCATTTTGAGTTTATTTTTGTGTATGGTGTAAGTTGATGGTCTAGTTTCATTTTTTTGCATGCAGCTGTCCAATTTTCCCAACACCATTTATTAAAGAGGCTGTCCTTACTCCACTGTATGCTCTTGCCACCTTTGTTGAGCATAATGTCTTGGGTCAATTTCTGTGTTTTCTGTTCTGTTCGACTGGTCTATATGCCCGTTCTTGTGCCAGTACCAGGCTGTTTTTATTACAGTCGCTTTGTAGTATAATCTGATATCCAGTATTGTGATCCCACCTACTTTGTCCTTCCTTTTCAAGGTTACTGTGGCTACTCGGGGTCTTTTTTGGTTCCATATGAACTTTTGAAGTATTTGTTCTAGTTCTGTGAAATATGTTGTTGGTATTTTGATGGGGATTGCATTGAATCTATAGATTGCTGTGGGTAACATGGACATTTTAATTATGTTAATTCTTCCAATCCATGAACAAGGTATGTGCTTCCACTTTTTTATATCTCCTCTATTTCTTTTTCAATGTCCTGTACTTTTCTACAAATAGGTTCTTTACTTCTTTAGTTAAGTTTATTCCTAGGTATCTTAATTTTTTTTGCCACAGTAGTAAATTGGATTGTTTTTTTAGTTTCTCTTACTGTGAGTTCATCATTGGTATATAAGAATACCATTGATTTCTTGACATTAATTTTGTATCCTGCTACTTTGCAAAATTCATTTATTAAGTCTAGCAGATTTTTGATGGAGTACTTAGGGTTTTCTATGTATAATATCATGTCATCTGTGGATAATGACAGTTTCACTTCCTCTTTTCCAGTTTGGATCCCTTTTATTTTATTTTTTATGTCTGATTACTGTGGCTAAGACTTCCAGGACTGTTAAGTAAGAGTGGTGAAAGTGGGCCTCCCTGTCTTGTTCCTGTTCTTAAGGGAAATGCTTTTAGTTTTTGCCCATTGAGTATGATGTTGGCTGTACATCTTTCATATATGGCCTTTATTATGTCAAGATATAATCCCTCTATTCCCACATTGCTGAGCATTTTTATCAGAAATGGGTGCTGGATTTTGTCTAATGCTTTTTCAGCATCTATTGATATGATCATGTGGTTTTTATCTTTCATTTTGTTTATGTGGTATATCACATTTAATGATTTGCGAATATTGTACCAGCCTTGCATCCCTGGGATGAATTCCACTTGGTCATGGTGAATAATATTCTTGATGTATTGCTGGATCCGATTTACTAGTATTTTGTTCAGGATTTTGTCATCTATGTTCATCAGGGATATTGGTCTGTAGTTTTCTTTCTTTGTAGTGTCTCTTTCTGGTTTTGGAATTAGAATTATTCTGGCCTCATACAATGAGTTTGGACATCTTCCTTCCTCTTGAATTTCTCAAAATAGTTTGAGGAGAATGGATGTTAGTTCTTTGAATGTTCAGTAAAACTCCCCCATAAAGTTTTAGGCCTGGGCTTTTGTTTGCTGGGAGAGTCTTGATTACATCTTCAATTTCCTTAGTTGTTATTGGTCTGTTCAATTTTTATATCTCTTCCAGGTCCAGTTTTGGGAGACTATGTATTTCTAGAAATTTGTCCAGTTCATTTAGATTGTCGAATTTGTTGCCATATAATTGTTCATAGTAGTTGTTAACAATCCTTTGTATTTTTGTGGTGTCAGTTGTTACTTCTCTTTTATTTCTGATTTTGTGTATTTGGGTTCTCTCTCTTTGTTTCTAGGTGAGTCTAGCCTAAGGATCCATCAATCTTGTTTATCTTTTTGAAAAACCAGCTCTTTGATCCTTTGAATTGTTTTTTGTTTTTTTTGTTTTTTTGGTCTCCATGTCATTTATTTCTGCTCTGATCTTTACGATTTCCTTCCTTCTACTTGCTCTGGGGTTTTCTTTTTGTTTGCTTTCTAGTTCTTTAAATTGTGAGGTTAGATAGTCTATTAGAAATTTTTCTTGTTTCTTGAGGTAGGCCTGTAGTGCTATGAACTTCCCTCTCAGAACTGCTTTTGCTGCATCCCATAGATTTTGTGTTGTTGTACGTTCACTTTCATTGGTTTCCAGGAAGTTTTTAATTTCTTCCTTGATCTCCTCGGTAACCCATTCATTGTTTAATAACATGCTATTTAGTCTCTATGTGTTCAAATGTCTTTGCATGTTCTTGTTGCAATTGATTTCTAGTTTCATGCCATTGTGATCTGAGAAGATGCTTGATATGATTCCAATCTTCTTGAACTTGTAGAGACTTAGTTTGTGTCCTACCATGTGGTCTGTCTTTGAGAATGTCCCATGTGCACTTGAGAAGAATGTGAATTCTGCAGTTTTGGGGTGTAATTCTCTGTAGATATCTATGAAATCCATTCGATCTAGTGCTTCATTTAGAGTCTCCACTTCCTTGTTAATTTTTTGTCTAGATGATCTATCCAGTGATGTCAGTGGGGTGTTGAAGTCCCCTGCTATGAATGTATTGCTGTCGATTTCTCCTTTGAAGTGCTCCAGAAGTTTTTAATGTATTTTGGTGCTCCTATGTTGAGTGCATATATGTTTACCAAGGTTATATCTTCCTGCCGGATAGAACCTTTCAATATTATGTAGTGATCTTCTTTGTCTTTAGTTATGGCCTTCATTTTGAAATCTATCTTATCAGATAGTATTGCTACGCCAGGTTTTTTTTTTTCTTTATGTTTGCTTGCAAGATTTTTTTCCATTTCTTCACTTTCAACCTATGTAAGTCTTTTATTGTGAGGTGGGTCTCTTATAAACAACATATATGTGAGTCATGCTTTCTTATCCAATCAGCTACTCTGTGTCTTCTTATCAGAGCATTCAATCTATTTACATTTAAGGTGATTATTGATATGTACTTATTGATTGCCATTTTTGTTTATTGTGGTTATATTTTTCTTCCTATTTCTTCTACTAATTACAGCAGTTCTTTCAACATTTCTTGCAATGCTAGTTTGGTGCTAATGTATTCCCTTAGCCTTTTTTTTTGGTCTGGGAAGCTCTTTATTTGACCTTCTATTTTCAGTGATAGCCTTGCTGGATAGAGTAGTCTTGGGTTCAGATTCTTGTTTTTCATGACCTTGATTACTTCATGCCATTCCCTTCTGGCCTGTAGTATTTCTGTTGAGAAGTCAGCTGATAGCCTTATTGGGGTTCCTTTGTAGGTAACCTGTTGCTTATCTCTTGCTGCCTTTAGGATTCTCTCTTTGGCTTTAATTTTTGAGATTTTAATTGCTATGTGTCTTGGTGTGGTCTTGTTGGGGCTCTCTGTGCTTCTTGAACTTGAATGCCTTCTTCCTTCACCAAATTAGGGAAGTTTTCTGTCACTATTTTTTCAACTATATTCTCTAACCCTTGCTCATTTTTTTCTTCTTTGGGGACTCCTATGATGTGAATATTATTATGTTTCCAGTTGTCCCACAGTTCTCTTAAGCTGTCTTCCTGGTTTTTAATTGTTTTTTCCTTTTGGTTTTCTGATTGGTTGATTTTTTTTCTACCCTGTCTTCTAATTTACTGATCTGGTCCTCAGCTTCTTCTACTCTGCTGTTTAGAACTTCCAATGTGGTCTTTATTTTTGCTATGTCATACTTCATTTCCACTTGGTTGGTTTTCAGGGCTTCTATATCTTTACTCATGCTGTTGAGCTTCCTCAAGATCATGGCTCTGAACTTTACCTCTGATAACTTGCTTAACTGCATTCATTTATCTCATCTTCACTAGAGGTCTCTTGTTCTTGCATTTGGGATTGTGCCTTTGTTTCACCATTTTGGTTATCTCAGTGGGTTTTAGAGCCTGCCAAATTTCCCTGTGGGTGTTGGTGTTCTGCTGTTTGTGGCTCCCTCTACTGGGTTTGGATGAGTGTGGGCATATCCACGTTAAACACTGCTGTCAAGTCTTACTTTCCTGGGTAGATTTGCTAGCCCAGAAACAGCTCAGTTATTCTCTAGCTTTTTGCCTGGAGACTATTAGTCTCAGTTACTTGAAGAGCCTTGGGTTCTCAGTTGAATGAAGAACTCCCTCAGGCATTCAGCGTGAGAGGATTTTTCGAGGGTGGAGCAGATGCTGGTTGTTAATGAGCCTCAATTTATATTTCTTTGTCCCACCTGGGTGGGATTGAATCTCTGAGGGAGGAGCTGCCACCTCTCCTCAGAGCCCTGGAAAGGAGTAAGATGGCCACTCCTGTGTGGCTGCAACTCAGCAAAATCTCTGAGCGCCGTGCAAATCCCGAGTGTACCCACACAGTTCCAGTCTAGTCCACCCTCCCTCTGCCAGAGCCCAAGGTGAGTGGCTGTGGCTAATTTAGCCTCTGTCCCTGCTCTCTGCGCTGTGGAGCCAGCTTGGGATTTTCACCCCGAGGGCACTGCTCACAGCTAAGACCTCGGCTGTCCGTGGGCTCCCAGTCTTTCTCTCACGCCTCCGCAATCCTACCAGGATTGATTCAGTGTCCCTGGTTATATGGTCCTCGCAGGCTGCTTTTCTGTTGCTTTTTCCTGACAATTTGTCTTTTTTTTTAGTTGTAATTCCAGTTTGGTCCTGGGAGTTGGTCTGTGTAGCTTCCATTCACTCTGCCACCATCTAAAGGTGTTATTTTAAAAGATAAGACATGGCTTGTTGGAACTCAGAGGTACTAGGACAAATAATGATAGAATTGGAACTTGTACCTATCCCAGCAAATGAAATCATTTTCACTGGGAGAATTAAAAAAGAAAAATTCTCTCATGTACTTTCGTCATGTAGACCTGAAGTAATAATTAATGTGAGATTTCTGGGCCTCTTCACTATCCATCTGTCTATAGAAACAAGAAGTTACACCACCTCTACCTACACCGACCCATACACAACCATCATCTTAGATCCTTTAATCCCCAGCTCCACTTCTTAGAGACTGTCTCTGGGAACCAGGCTCTGTTGGGGGTACCGTGGGCTACATGCAGCATGCCGCCTCCTTCCTGGGCATGTGTGAAGAGTAACCAGGCACCAAGCCAAGAAGGTAACAGGCTTGGCTGACATTAAGCCTTTCCCTTTACTCTGGGCACCTAAGGTCCAGATAAGTCGTTTTAAAAATTTTAGAACCTAAGAACTAACACTAAAGAGAGTTATTACAGTCAAGAAAAATGCTTCACTGGAGGAGGAATCTGAACTCTGTAGGCCTCGGGTTACAACAGAACTTTCAAGGAACACAAGAAGTTCTTAATGTGTGTGTCCAGCCCACGAACGTGGACAAAATGCATACAGGATACAGCTTAAAAATCAGAGTTCCCACTCCAGGAGTTATTGGTAGTCACCCTTCATTAAAGGTTATTTAAATGCTCCTTAAAGTTCCCAGATTATGGATCCTGCAGGTAACAGTGGTAAATTGTCCATAAGGAATATGTTTTATCGGTACAGAGCTGTCCCAGAACAAAGGGCGCCGTTCCCACCCGTGTTTTTACCATCTCGGCTCAGTAGTGGGGGAGGAGGCCTGAAGGCAACTGCGAAGCTGCCACATGCTCGGCCATCTCTTTCCGTCTGGATAACACCCTCTCTAAAAACTGAACATCAGTCACCACTCCATAAAGCTCTTTCTAACCAAAAGAGACGCTTTGTCTCAGGAACCAAGCTGAGGCTGTTTTCTCGTCTCTGGAAGGGAAAATTGGCGTCAGCATTATAAAAACTCTTCCTTTAACAGTCCCGTAGACTGAGGCCCAAGGAAGCATTTGGGGCTCTCAGAGAGGAAATGTGTCTGCACATTCAGGAACTTTGCTTACCAAAGGCAGAGCTTCTTGTAAACGTCCGATGTGCCCTGGCCGTTTGGCTCGGCGATGAGAGCATCGGCCTGGACCAGTCTCAGGTTTGATTCCAGGCAAGGGCACCCACCTGGGTTGCAGTTCGGTCCAGGGCCCAGGGCGGGGTCAAGCGGGAGGCAACCAATCAATGTGGTGTGTCTCTCTCTCCCTCCCTCCCTCCCACTCTATCTGAAGATAAATGGAAAAATATCCTCTGGTGAGGATTAAAAAAAAAAAATGTCCATTGCAACCAACTGGCTCGGGAAACTAACACCCTAAATCATAATAGGTAAACCAGAAGTTTCAAATTCCCTATCTGTCAAGGAAATATACTTTAATCTGTTCTTTTAAAAATATTTCAAAAGTAACTTTCTTTAAGAGAAATAATTTTAAGCCTCGTACAACTTGATGCATTAAATGAATGCCGACGGTCTCTGCACACACACCCTACGTGTCAGTGTAAGGTGTTTTGCGTGGGGGGGGTGGTATTCTGTTTTGTTTTCTTTTTCAGAAAAATTAAGCTACTTTAAGATGAAAGAATTAAACTGGTTCAGGATTCAGCAGACCCTGAGGATTATGATTTACTATGATATATAGAGTTTAGTGCATGGAAACCTAGGCTACAGGACAAGCTTATCATTTTAGCCTGTTGTGGAGCCCAGTGGCCAAGCAGCTGTCCCCCACTAGTCTCAGGGACGGAGCCAGTAGCCTAGGGTTTGTGACTTCCCTGCTTCTGTTTCTGGGAATCTGCATTTCATCTGCAATGTCAGCTGTTACTTCTCTCAACCATCCCCTGGAAACATGTTATTGTCGGCTCTACAAACGTTAGCAGATGACTCACTGTCGCTGTTTTTATTTCCCTGCAGAATTCATCTAAAGCTGCCCAAGCCCCATCTCCATGGGGGGCCGGTGGAAAGTAAGTTCCTTTTTTCAAAGTAAGGGCGGTCAGTGAGACGCTGCGGGTGCTGGGCAGCAGGCGGCTGCTCACAGTGTCCCGAGGGGCTGCCCCACCTCAGCTGGGACCAACCTCTCTGCCCTTGGTTTTCTGTGCTCTCCCCTTCCAGGAGCACTGGAACCCCATCCCCCATGTCTCCCAACCCCTCCCCCACCAGCTCCGTGGGATCTCAGGGGAGCCTCTCCAACACCAGCGCCCTGTCCCCCTCAACCATCGTCAGCATCCCACAGCGCATCCACCAGATGGCCGCCAATCACGTCAGCATCACCAACAGCATTCTCCACAGCTACGACTACTGGGAGATGGCGGACAACCTGGCCAAGGAAAACAGAGGTGGGTGTGCCTCTGGGGGGCGCAGGGGTGCACCGCAGCTCAAGGAGAGAGCCTGGTTCTTGGGCATCCTCCAACAGGTTGTCATCATCTACTGGAGAAGAAATCGTAGAAGCTGTCACTGCTGTGTGAAACTTTCCCGACCTCTCCCCTTCCGCAGGGCCTCCTGTTCCTAACCTACCTTCATCTTCACGGTGGGAGATTAGACACAGGGATGATATAGATACAAATGATATTACAGGTACAGACACATAGATGTAGATACGGATATAGATATGCACGCATGTTCTTTTTCCTGTGGACAGTGAGCTTGGAGAAGGTAAAGATTATATTTTATCATACTTTTTTGTTGTTGTTGTTGTTAATCCTCACCCGAGGATATTTTTTCTATTGATTCTTAGAGAGAGTGGAAAGGAGGGAGGGAGGGAGGGGAAGAGAGAGAGAGAAACATCCACGTGTGAGACACATCGATTAGTTGCCTCCCACACACATCCTGACTGGGGCTGGGGTTGAACTTGCAACCCAGGTAAGTGCCCTTGATCTGGACTCGAACCCACAACCCTTCAGTCTGAAGGCTGATGCTCTAACCACTAAACACACCGGCCAGGGCAGTTTTATCCTACTTTGTATTCCTAAGACCTGCACGGTGCCTAGGACACAGCTGGGGTTCTGAAACATTGAATTAATTAGTTAACGAGATGAATGTTACTAGCTATTTACATGTAAGTGATAACTGCTTACAACTGAAAAGAAAGTGTTTACATGTAGCAGAAATTCAATTTCATTTTAAATGTTTTTTAACTGATTATAAAAGGAATGCATACTTACAAAATTTATAAAGTATAGAAAAATGTAGTAAGTTTTTTATGTCATCAATCTTACCACTAAGAAATCATTACTGTTGACATTCTACTGAAGTTTCTTCTAGTTTCCTCCAAATACACGATTTTTACCAAAATAAGATCAGAGTATATATGCAATGTTATATCCTGTCTTTTTTCATTTAACATCATATCGGGCATTTCCCCATGTTACTAACTAGTTCAAAAACACCCTCTGTGATGGCTCCATAATACTGTCATAATAGTGGTTATGCAGCCATAAAGTACCATTCCCCTGTTGTTGGACACGTAGGTTACTTCCCATTTTTTTCCACTATTACAAATCAGATTATGATCGATACTTTTATATAAACCACTTTCCATCATTTTTATTATATTCCTAGGAGGGAGTTGTAGAAGTAGAATTTGGGGGTTAACGGGTATATATTGTTATCTATCTTGATATATAGTCTTAACATTTCGCCCAATTATACCGATTTACTACTCAGGTGAAAGTGCAAATCTGAGGTCTCTTTCCGGTCGTTAAATGCACATTTGGTTCCATGACCGCGTAAAGCCCCCAAGGACAAGACCCCCAATGCCCACAATAAGATGAGGAAGCTGCAGCATGGACAGGCAGATGGGGCCTGAGTCCATGAAACTGATAATAAACCAGATAGTTCGCGGCGTGCAGCCCAGACATGCTGACCCTGGAAATCCACCGGGAAGCCAGCGTGGAGCAGGATGTTAAAAAGCAAATAGTGGTTGAGTAGCCGAGATGGAGTGGGGTGGGTGCACAAGCGGACGGAACAGAAGGGACAAATATATAAAAATGTACGTGGCCAGTTTGGGAGACCTGAGCAGGCCAGGCTCCTGTGCACTGCCAGCTGCCCACTAGACCTCTCCTGCCCGAGGCTCAGGGCTACATGTCTAACGTGAAGTTGGCATTGTTTTTCTGACCAGCTCCTCCTCCCTGTTCTGCCCCCGGATCCCTGCCCTGGCTGCCTTCCCAGCCACCTGGAGCTGGACTCGTCCCTACCCCCTCCCTTGCCTTCCCAGCACGACCTCATTCAGCATGAATATATATGAGCACCTTTGAAAAACCTCCAGGCACTTCTTTTGAAGGAGTATTGTTCTGTGATCCAGTTAGGACAGCATAGCAGCCATACGAATATTTGTCTCTCTCAGCCACTAAGCTGTGACCTCGGAGAGAACAGAGCCTCGTGCCCGCTGCCTGTCTCGGTACACTCCCTGACCCTGCCTTGCTGCGCCTAGCTCGGCGCCCTGGCCCATGATGCATGTTCAATGAGAGGACAAGACCAGAGGGTGTCCAAGGACTAGACGGGGGCCTCAGCACAGGTGTTTCAGAACCGGCTCTGATTTGCCGCCTGGAGCCTGGAGCCTCCTCCCTGAGACACTTCAGTGGCTCAGCACGGGCACAGCGGAGGCTGAGGTAAGGGATGACTGAGCCCAGCCGCATTCAGGAGGGGGCGTTACTGCCCCAGGAGAATGTGTCTGAGGAAGTCCATTGTGTTTGCCGTTTGGCTAAGTAAATATTACTCATTTGAATTAAACACTGCCAATAGAGTGACTATTTGAATAGAAGGATGAATTCTCTACCTTTGGGTTTCATTCTGTTCAACTGCATGTTCAAGTCACATGATAAAAGAGAGAATGCTCGATTTATAGAGAGACCATGAATGGAGACTTTCTTAAGTCACTTAGGTCCCGGGGTAGCAACTTAGCATGTGTGGCACTCTAACGACTCTCTCTGTCCCCTAGAATTCTTCAATGACCTGGATCTGCTCATGGGGCCCGTCACCCTGCACAGCAGCATGGAGCACCTGGTGCAGTACTCCCAGCAGGGCCTGCACTGGCTGCGGAACAGCGCCCACCTGCCCTAGGGACGTGCCTCCAGCTGCACTGTGCTCGCGTCTCCAAGGACAGCTCGATGTTTCTGGAACCGTGCTACTGACACTCCCAGCCACAGCATATATCAGCATCGAACAGCAGTCTTTTCCCAGGGCATGTGTGTCTGTGTGTGTGGGTGCAGAAGCAGCAGCCCGTGTATGTGTGTAAGGTGCACAGCTCTTAAAACACACTTTCTTTGTCTAGTTTCCATAATCCCAGGCTAGGCAGAGGGATCAGAGGTTTCTGATTAGAGGAAATACACTTACACACACACACACACACACACACACACACACACACACACACACACTTTCTACTTCAAAGCTAAACCATGACTTTTCAGAACATTCAACCAAAATCTCAGTTAGTTGCCAGGGGCAGTGCAGCACACCAAAAGCTTGCCTGCCGGTTAAGATGAACCTAGTACTTCTATTATTGATTACTTTCAGTATTGATAGGCTCTTCCCCAATTGTTCTTTGATTGTCTGTGTTAATTGAATAATGAGAGTCAGTCATTTCTGTGCTGGATGTTTACTAGGTTGCATGTTACCAACTGTCCTGCCTTTCATTTGATACTCACCCCTCCATCCAATGTTATCAACGAAATGGGTTATAAGCAAATGGATTGACTCCCACAGGCCTGCCCTGCTCTACCCCCAGATGGTATGCAGGTGGCACAGAGATTTGGTGAGAACTCAGTGCCTTGGAAAGTGAACCAACGTTGAAGCAGAGATAGCTGCGTTTCGGAGCTCGGCTAGGAATTGAAATATTTGCACATGCAACAAGTCCACCCAGCACACGAGTTTCTTCTTCCTGCCACTGTGACCCGGTGGCTATAAAGCCATGTGGCACGTATCAGCCGATATTTGTTAAGTCTTCTTCCCACAGTAGCTTTCTTACCAATGTTCTTGGCCAGATGAGGACATTACCTAGAAGGCCCCTTCCCTATGGTCTGGATCTGGTGGTTACCAGGCTGAGAACCTCTTGCTGTCCTGATAATGTCTAACCCGCCCACTCTGTGCAGAACGTGCCACTTTAATGCGTTTTGAACTGGGCTAGGCCAGGCTCTCAGTAGCAAGCTGCTGCCTGAGCAGGGCCCGTCACTCCTGCGGTGACCGCCGTGCGGTTGGGGTGGCAACAACCAGACGTCAGGCTCACGTCCCGTGTGTCTGGTATGTTTACGTCTTGCCCTCAACTCTTTTCTTTTTTTAAATTAAGTTTACATTTTAGTGTTTTGACATCTTGTTTACAGTTTTTGTCTAAAACTTTCTTTTATAGTCCCTTGTCATTGCCCTAGATTTAGGTTTGCATATTAAATATATTCGGATATAAAAATATTGGTTAAAAATAAAAACTTCCGGGGAAAAAAGGATGTACTTTGTCATACTCTAAAAACAAAGACAGTGTCCCTGAGGCCTCTCACTGGACTGGGTCGCACCAGGGCAGTCTGAGGAGGACAGGCCACGCAGTTTCTGGAGCCGCCCATTGTTCGGGGGAAGCTGGCCCAGACTGGTAACGGGTGCTCAGTGTGCTCTCACTGACGGTCCGGTGGGTTTGGTTCAGTGCTCACTAACACGCTCGTCAGCCCGATGTACAGGTGGAACTAAGATTGCTCTAATTCCCCAGCCCTAAGCACTGATTCAAAATTATACAAATGGTGACCTGACATTAACTTAACAGGAGCAAGTGGAGGGCTTATGAGATTTGCATTGGGATTGGCCTTCAAGTATCTGGCCCATTCACAGAATTTCTGTTTTACATGTGTTCAGCCGAGGTGCTTGCCACATCCCTCTCACCAGCTGTCGGAGTTCACAGTCTCATTTGATGTTGGAAATTTCAGTCTAACTGAAGAAATTGTGAATTGTTTTTTTGTTGTTGTTGTTTTGGAAGACTGAGGCTGAGTTCTGCTTCCTCTTGCTGAATTCTGCTGAAATGTCCAAACTCGCATGAAAGGGTGAGCTTCAGGGTGTCTCCGGGGTGCTCAGCTGCAGACCTTGAGTGGTGCCCACATGGTGCGCTGACCCGTGAAACCCCACCTAAACACAGTGGCCTCTGGCATTTCATCAGTGCTCTGATGACCATGTTTCCCAACAAAACTTGACACTGGTCATTTTGGGGGTGGTCTTTTGTTCCATCGGCAGAGTACATTGGGGCAGCAGTTTTTGTTTGCTTGGACGTAGATGATTATGGTAAGGAACCACCTTTTATTGTTGCTTGTGAAAGTCATACATAACTGTTCCTTTTACTTAGTTTTGTTCAAAGTAGAAATATCTTTCTTGCATTTTCTGATTATAAAAGCAATACATGCTTCATTGTAAAAATTCAGACAATACAGAAACGTAGAAAGTAGAAAGTAGTAAGTCCCACCCCCGGAGACAACCACTGCTCACAGTTTCATGTCTGTCCTTCTAGAGATTCCCCCATTTCAACATATAGTGTCTATTATCATGTCCTTCTATTTGAAGACATATTATTTCCTTAGAAGCTCAACTGACCTTATCCTTCCATGACCTGAACAGATGC